TGGAGGGTCAGAGAAAAAGAGAAAGACCCCCAGCGAGATGGATTGGCCAAGTGACAGCATCAATGGACTCAAGCGTGGCAACAATAGTGAGGGTGGCCCAGGATCAGGCAGTGTTTCGTTCTGCTGTGCATAATGTTTCTATGAGTCATCACCGACTCGATGGCACCTAACAACAACAACAAGGTAAAGTTGGCAGTTCAAGCTCATCAACTGCTCCTCGGAAACCCCAGACAGGGTCACTATGGGTTGGAACTGACTTGATGGCACTTAACAACAACAAAAGCAAGTCAAATAATAGTAGCAACTTGTGCTCAGTCCAGCCCTCAAATGAAAAACAAAAAAACAGAGTCAGAGATCTAAAGTGTAAGATGTTATATCAAAGAGAATCAATAGTATAAATTAAACTCCATTTAAGTTAAACCTTCTGGCTGTGGGAAGTAAATTTATGAGAAGACTGAAAAGTGCAGGCAGGGCTTGCATATGCTTCAAATGGTTGAAGGGAGTGGTGGGAGGTTGAGTGATTTAGTCAGAGGAGCTTCTCTGCTTTTGCATTCTGTCTCCAGCTTCATTGTCTGTGTTTAGTCAACTGAACAATGTTGTTGTTGTTGTTTTGTGCCTCTCATTTGGCTCAGACTCATAGTGACCCCGTATAAGGTTTCTGAGGAGTGATTGGTGGACTTAAACCTCCGACCTTGCAGTTCAAACCAACCCTGTGATCCAGTACACTATTCTGCAACATCACACTAGGACTCCACATTAATCAGTGAGCAAATTTAGATCATAAAAATAGAATTTGTGTGCATCCAATTTCATTGATAACAGACAATGAAGCTGTTTTGAAATCTCTAAATGATTGTCATGCAACTCTGAGGACATACAGAAAACATATATTTTAAGATGTTTATTCTTTAATCAAGTTGGTCCTATAGTGGAACAAATTACATTGAGTGGAAGCTAGTTGTTTATCATATAGATGCTTAAACTAAGATTAGATGATAATTAGACCAATTGCAGGGGTAATTCTATATGAGACATTAAATTATATTATATTGAAATGGTGATAATGACAATAGTAAATGACACTTACTGAATATTTTCCATGAACCACAAACTGTACTATGTAAATCTCTTTAAAATCTTCAAACCTGGAAGACAAACATTATTATTTCCATTTTACAGATTAGGAAATTTTAGGATCCTGGAAAAAAAGTAATCAACAACATTTCCACATAGAAATAATTACAAAGATTTTTCTTCTTCCCAATTTTTGATTCCAATAATTGCACTTGTTTTAAAACCACATCTTCATATGATGAGCTTCAGAACTTACTGCCTCTAAAATATTCTGTTTTATCAAAGAATGTTTTATGGCAAGCATAATATTTGGATGCTAGTGTTCTCTGCACATTAGTTGGAGGTATGCTGGTGGTGGTGCTAGGTGCCATAGAGTCGGTTCTGACCCACAGAGACCTATGTACAGCAGAACAAAATACCACCCAGTCCTGGGCCAGCCACACAATTGCTGCTGTCCTTGAACTCATTTCTTCTGCCACTGTACCAATCCATCATGTTGGGGAGTCTCTTTTTCACTGACCCTCCAATTTATTAAGCATGATGTCCTTTTCTAGGAACTGGTCCCTCTTGATAATATGTCTGAAGTATGAGAGTCAAAAATCTGGTCACATTGGCTTCTAAGGAGCATTCTGGTTGTACTTCTTCCAACACATATCTGTTTGTTCTTCTAGCCTTCTGTGGTACTTTGACTATTCTTCTCTAACACCATCACTCATATACATGAATTCTTCTACATTCTTCCTTATTTATGTAAAACTTTCACATGCATATGAGATTATTGAAAATACCATGATTTGTATCAGGTGCACCTTAGTCCTCAAACTAACATCTTTGCTCTTTAACACTTTGAAGAGGTCTTATGCAACAGATTTGCCTAGTTCAGTACATCATTTGATTTCTTGACTGCTGCTTACATGAGTGTTGACAATGGTTTCAAGCAAAATGAAGTCTTTGACAACTTCATTTTTTCTTCATATATCATGATGTTATTAATTGGTCCAGTGGTGAAGATTTTTGTTTTCTATATATTGAAGTGCAACCTATATCGAAGGCTGTGGGCTTTCATTTTCATCAACAAATATTTTAAATTATCTTCTCTTTCAGCAAGCAAGGGTGTATCATCTGCCCACCACAGGTTGTTAATGAGTCTTCCTATATTCCTGATGCCATGTTCTCCTTCATATAATCCATTTTCTTGGATTTATCATATGCTACCTCTTGAAATTTGAGTTATGGTGTTGGAGGAGAATATCAAATGTGTCATGGGCAGCCAAAAGAACCAACAGATCTGTGTTGGAAGAAGCGCAGCCAGAGTGCTCCGTGGAGGCCAGGATGGCCAAACTTCGTCTCTCATACTTCAAACATATTATCAAGAGGGACCAGTCGCTGGAGATGGATATCATGTTTGGTAAGGCAGAGAGTCAGAGAAAAAGAGGAAGACCCCCAGTGAGATGGATTGACAAAGTGACAGCATCAATGGGTTCAAGCGTGGCAACAATTGTGAGGTTGGCCCAGGATCGGGCAATGTTTCATTCTGTTGTACATAGGGTTGCTATGAGTCAGTACCAACTCGATGGCACCTAAAAATAACAACGCCTTGAAATGATTGAGCATTGACAATTTATTTTGGTAGAGTGAATCTTTGTTTTACTTTCATCTTCTTGTGATGTTTTCTGCATCATTCAATATTTTGCCCAATAGAATCCTTCAGTATTTCAAATTGAGGGTTGAATTTTTCCTTCATTCTTTCAGCTTGGGAACTGTTGAGTGTATTCTTTCCTTTTGGGTTTCTAACTCCAGTTGGAGGCAGAGAGAACTCAAATCATGTTAGTAATATTGCTGTTGTTTTTATGTGCCATTGAGTCATTTCTGATTTTTAGTGACCCTGTAGAGGGTTTTTGAGGGACAGCTGGTAGGTTTGAACTATTGACCTTGTGGTTCACAGTCCAGTACTAATCCTACAACACTACATCAGGTCATGGCTAAGTTCTCCAAGTCATGCTAGACAAAGTCAAATTTTCATCTCTATGCAATTTTCTATAGAGAAGATAATAGTTGATGTCAATTGAATTGAATCTTAGCTCTTTGTTGTCTCTATCCTTTCTTGCATTAACTAAAAAACCTTATATGCACTCCTTTTATTCCTCTCTTCTCTAGAGATCATGCAGTTTATTGTCCCTGCACTGTGATTAGAATCGCACTTTTAACCACGCTCCTCTAATTCTCTTAGTCCTTATGACTGTGAATACAATAAGAATAATTGATATTTGTAGCAAGCATATTTGCACTGTTCATAGGATAAGTACTCAACCACAAGGTCGTTGGTTCAACCTTACCAGCTGCTCCTTGGATACCCTATACAGGATCACTATGGGTCAGAACTGACTTGATGGCACTTAATAACAACAACAGTATTGGTGTGGCGGTGTAGGGTTAAGCACTGAAATGTGAACTGAAAGATTGCAGGCCAAACCCTCTAGCAGCTCCTCGGAAACCCTATTCAGGGTCTATATGAGTCAGAACCTTACTTTGAAATCAGCAATCTCCAGAGATAAAAATGGAAGGAATGATTGATCCAGTAGTGGGCTGGACAAGGATGGGATTTTCTGTTTCAGAGATAGAATGAAAGCCCAAGAGGGAAAACTTTCTCTTTGAGAAGTTAAAGTATGTGAGACTGAAACACATCTTGTACAGTTTGGGAAGAAGACTAAGCAAGGATATTAAAGATATCTCTTGAGAAGATACTAGGGTAGTATTAAGGTCAGGAATAAGTTCCAAGAACTGAATCCTACACCAGAACTCATTTTAAGTAGAAAGACAGGAATGGAAATATCCAACTTCATCCAGGAAATTCTGTTTGCAATTTATGTTCCGGATAGATGGTCCCACCTGATCTTTTCACTTTTATCATACTTCATAAAAGTATGTGTTTATGTACTCAGGTATATTCTTAGAAAAAAATGAAAGAATGGGTTGATACCTTCCTTTGAGGACAATAGGCCTCAATCCAGAAGATAACTCAAGTTTATTAAAATTATTAATTGTACATTTGTTTTATTTAACAAAAATTATGTGTCGGGTATTATTCAAAACTTTTTACGAACATTAGTATTAGCCCATTGGATCCTCCCAGCAAGGGGCTTATAGGGGATTGTTGTTGTTGGGTGTAGTTGAATCTATTCTGACTTATGACATTCCCTTGTGATTGAGGAGAACATGGAGCCCTGGTGTGGCACAGTGTTCTAAAGTGCTGGACTGCAAAGTTGGTATGACAAACCTCACAGAATTGTCTTGGTTGTATAAAGAATTTTCTTTATGGATGCAGATTGCTAGGTCGTTCTTTCACAGAGCCACTAGAAGGATTTGAAATGTCAAACTTTTAGTTAGCCAATGGGTATTTAATTGTTTGAACCATCTTATTCTAGGGAATATGTGTCATTATTATTTCAATTATATATAGTTAGTAAAGGAATCCTGATGTGGCACTATAGAATAAGCAATAGACTGTTAACTACGAAGTTGGTAGTTCAAACCTACCAGCCCCTCCCCAGAATTGCTATGCATGGTCACTATGAGTCAGAACTGATTCGGTGGCACTTAACAACAACAACATATAGTTAGTGCTTCTTTAGTCTCATTCATATCCTTGTTCTCTATCTCTCTAGGTAATATGATATTGTGTCGAGGTTTCTGGCACGAGAAGAGGCCCAGCATTCTTGGTTAGACCATGGAGTCTCCTAATCTCACTAGCCTGGATCCATCTGTTTTCTTTCTCCTGGGTATTCCTGGTCTCGAACAGTTCCACCTATGGCTCTCACTCCCTGTGTGTTGCCTGAGCACAGCCACAATTGTGGGCAACATAACCATCCTGGTTGTTGTTGCCACTGAGCCAACCCTGCACAAGCCCGTGTACCTTTTCCTCTGTATGCTTTCCACCATTGACTTGGCTGCTTCCTTCTCCACTGTTCCCAAGCTACTCGCCATTCTCTGGTGTGGAGCAGGTCATATCTCGGCCTCTGCCTGCCTGGCACAAATGTTCTTCATCCATGCATTCTGCATGATGGAATCCACTGTGCTGTTAGCCATGGCCTTTGACCGCTATGTAGCCATCTGCCACCCACTTCGCTATGCCACCATTCTTACCGACGCCATCATTGCCCGCATAGGGCTGGTAGCTATGGTACGGGGCTCCCTGCTCATGCTCCCATGTCCCTTTCTCATCGGGCGTTTGAGCTTCTGCCAAAGCCATGTGATCCCACACACATATTGTGAACACATGGCTATAGTGAAGTTGGCCTGTGGAGACACTAGGCCTAACCGTGTATATGGGCTGACTGCAGCACTGCTAGTCATTGGGGTTGACTTGTTCTGCATTGGTCTCTCCTATGCCTTCATTGCACGAGCTGTCTTTCGTCTCTCATCCCGTGAAGCTCGATCCAAGGCCCTAGGGACCTGTGGCTCTCATGTATGTGTCATCCTCATCTCTTACACACCAGCGCTCTTCTCCTTTTTCACCCACCGCTTTGGCCATCATGTTCCACTCCATATCCACATTCTTTTGGCCAATGTTTATCTGCTCTTCCCACCTGCCCTTAACCCTGTGGTTTATGGAGTTAAGACCAAGGAAATACGGGAAAGAGTTGCCAGGGTGTTTCAGAGGGGACAAGGAACTGGGGTTAAAACAACTGAATGAATCTGAAGAATAGAAGGGTTTAATCCAAATGAAGAGAAACTTTTAAAGTTTAGGAACTCTTCAGTATTTCAAATGGGAGAAAGGTTTTAATGGGGGGCATGATGGCCTCTGAAGAACTTTCTAGAACATTTCCAAGAATGATAAATCACAGCAGAAGTAAAGGAAGTTCAGTATTCTTCCTTTCCAATCAGGGAATTCAAACATAGGAAGATCTTTCAACCTAGGAAGTTCTTAGGCATTGAAAACAGCCAACTAAGCCTGAAATGTTTCTGACCAGCTCACAGGCTCTGGGTAGCCACAGGCACTATCTTTTCTTCCTGGCCTCTCCCAATAAAATAGGCATATATTTCTAACCTAATATAGGAGTTACAGCTGCTGTTTGACAGCCTGCAAGTATTAGAAGATAGAACCACAAAGCCACCACAAAGAAAATAGATCATGGAGCACATATTTTTTCACCAGAAGAGCTGGATCCAGGAAGATGGAAGGGGCATACCAATCCCCACAATATTAGTTAGTTGCAAAGCTATGACTTGAAGCCTAGAAACAATTAGTACAAAACAATAGGACTTTTATGAATGAAGGCACAGCAGGAATAAGGAATAGCTCTTCATTACTAAACTTGGACTTCATTCCAGATCTATATTCCTTTCCCAACCTCTAGAGAGTTATACTAAATTCAAATGGATTTTTGCTGACCCACTTCCCTCTTACTACCTACCTGAGAGGAAAGAGAAGCACGTTGCAGTTTTTCTTATACATTTATACATCTGGAAGGTAATTCTGTAACTCAGTGACCCCGATCTCATGAAACTATAAAAGGCCATCTAACTAAACCAATCCAAATGGGAAAGTCTTATACATTCATTCATTCATTTATTTATAAGAAAAAGGGGGCGTAGTTGTTCTTAGTCCTTTAATTTGAGTTAACTCCATGTGGTAGAAATTCTTAATTGTACCCATAAAATTGGTATTAAAAAGTGCCTGTTGTACATACTGAGTCTTCTGTTCTCCAGGAAGAATATTGATCAAATACATTCTATTAAAAAGAGCACTTTAAACGTGGTATTTATTGCTCATTATAAATTATTGATGGTGCATAATGCCTGCTTGCCATTCTCTCAGTATGCCACCCCTGTACATTTGATGGTGCTTACCAACACCAGCAGTCTGTTAGGTAGAAAAGATACAAACCTCCCTGCTGGAAATTCACCGGCCCTCCCTCTCTGGGTCATAAGGCCAGGAAATCAAAGTTCAACTTTCAAAGTTCCCAGTTTCATGAATATGAGTATTTTGATTAAGATAATTCTCATAGGTGAGGATAGCCAGCTTACAAACAATTATAATCCAATAAAGTATGCTGAACACTACCTATTTTTCAGAGCAAAGACAATCATAGTGATAATCTATAGAAAGATTTTCAGTGCATCAGAATCTTTTAAAGTAACTTTAAATCTTCATGCTCATACTCATATTGAGTTATTCTTCATATATTGTTAAAAATTATATACAATTTTGCACACCACAGTTCATCAATTGAATTACTATTTTACACTCCAAATTTGACTCTACATAAGCCCTACAACCTCAACTCTGAGTAATTCATTGGGAGCATGCTGGCTGTGTAGGATAAGCACTGGACTGCGAACCACAAGATAGTCATTTAGAGCCTACCATCTCCTATACATTTTACAGCCTTAGAAGTTCTATACAAGGTCAACATGACTTGAAACTTACTAGTTGGCAATTAACAACAACAATTGTGTTGTAAGCTGCTAGGTGTGGTGCTGTCAGATATGCTCTGGATTGCAAGGTCAGCAGTTCAAACTCACTCTTTAGAAAACCTACAAAGGGTAGCTGTGAGCTGGAACTTACTCGATGATATTTTACAGTCCATTCCATACTCATAGTATGGAGCACTACTGGATGAAGTATCCAAACATGCAAATCTGTAAGCACGACTTGTTCATAATTTAACGTTTGAACTCTGATCTTTGTGCTACATGTGTATGCTTTTACCAATACATGATCTGCAATAATAAATTGCTATCATGCTCAATTCCTTTACACAGTTCCTGTACTTCATGCTAGCATGATATATTAATGTTAGCCATTAGAAAACAATTGGCAGTAAACTAGATAACTTCTAATTCCTTTTATTAACTTTTGACATCTTCCGTCATTATTCATTATTTTCATCTTTGATGGTGTATCCATATATTATTAATTTGTTTTTCAGCTCAACTAAGTCCCTTAACACATGCTCTTAATTTCAATGACTCTTGCCTCCTCAGGGAGCTTGGATAATCACTCAGCTTTTATATTTCTTGTATTTACAACCTGTTTCAATCTCTTTTACTGTTTGACCTTTGTAGACTTTCTTTTTTATGCTGTTGTTGTTAAGTCTCATCTAGTCAGTTTTGATTCATAAAGACCCTGTATAGGGTTTCCCAGGAGTGACTGGTGGGTTTGAACTATCAACCTTGTGGTTAACAGTCCAGTGCTTCTCCTACAGAGCCATACCAGGATTCCTTTTTAAATATGAATTTCTGGAAAATATTGTTCAAACTAATTTAAAATTTGTTAAAACAAATTAATAATCAAAATTATAATCTGTATAACTATATCCATTGATGAACCTCTTACTGATCTCTTATCCCACCTCAGTAAAACTTTTTGCTTATGCATACTTGTGTCCAGTTGAGTAGGTTCTAACTCAGCAGTCCTCTATAGGATTTCTCAGAATGGCTGATAGGTTCAAACTGCTGAACTTGGGTGAGCTGTGCAATGTTTGTCCTACAGCACCACACCAGGCCTGATATGCACACTAAGAATGATTATTTCTTAAAACCCATCTATAATTTTCCAGAGGTTGACACCATAAAAACAAATGTTAATTTCATCTTATTTGAATTGTGAACAACTCATGTTACAAATTCCATTTCCTTGCTTCTTTGAAAACAACTTTATGCTTTTTTCTAAGTAAGGCTACATTTTCTTCTCTTTTGTCTAATCAGCATTTACCAGGGCTTTGTTTAAAGTTCCTAAATGCTTGGTGCCATGCCTTTTCTTCTATCTCTCTGTATTCATTTGTTAAAGAATCTATCTTTACCACAGTTTTAATGAACATATATATATGTGATTTCCAGATAATATGTGGCTCACTCCAAAATACTTTTTCTCAAATTGCTGTTTTGATTACTAGAACTCTTTTTTCCCATGTACTTATTAAACAGTGTACAGATGGATGCTTTCAAAGGTCCTTCATCATGGCCAAACCGGAACTCATTTTCTACAATCGCTACTATGTCTTCCCTGTTGACTTCAGTTGACTGTGCCCTCCAGTTGACTCTGACTTATAGTAAAGCTGTAGAGAGTTTCTGAGGCTATAGATCTTTGCAGGAGCAGAAAGCCTTATCTTTACCTGCAGAGTGACTGGTGGACTTCTATCTTTGAACCTGTGTTTTTCAGTTCAGTGCTTAGCCTACAGAGCCTGTGATTCCTGTGATCCCTGCCTTCTTTGTTGCTGTTAAGTGCCTTCAAGTCAGTTAGACACGTAGCCACTCTGTATAGTATAAGATTTCCAAGGAGCAGCTGGATAGTTTGAACCACTCACCTTTCAGTTCCAACCTACCTTGAGGTTCAGTGTTTATCCTGTGGTGCCACACCCAGACTGCCTTCTTTAATCTTCCTTAAATATGTGAATAACATCACAGATCATTCATACTCATACTATAGGAATTAAAATAGTTCTTTGGTCATGAGTAGCATCAAGTTTACCTTTAACCTACCTCCTAAATCTATCAATTTCTCTAGGTTTTCATGGTCACTGTCCTGTTTCATGATATAATCTCTCCTTTGAATTACCACAGTAGTTGCCTTTCTGATTTACTGTTATTCTTATCACATTTAATCTGGTTGTTAATTCTCTTAAAACTTTTCAGTGATCCCTTTTTATTTTAGCATAAATTTGCTCATAATTATCTAGCCCTTATTACCGCAACAGTCTCATCTGTTCTCATATTCTGGTTTGGTAATGCATTTTAGGAAGCACAGCCACATTTTCCCTCTTTTACTACCTTGAATGTACCTCAGTCCCTGTCAATTCAGCATCTGCAAATTTCTGGCATTCTGAACGCCTCCTGTAAACCATATTTAACTCCTCAAACATTTGATTTCAGCATTAATTGACATTTCTTCCAGAAATCTGCCTCTCTCATTAAGACTAAATAAATTTTCTCATTTGTTTTGCTCTCCTAGTTTTAAAGCACTTTTTCTAGTTTTTAATTCTGTGTTTGCTTGATGATTTATTCAGTATTTTACATGCACACATACACACCAGTGTCACTAGACTACAATTTCTATTAGGACAGGGATCACTTTACTTGTTTTATATCCAAAGTAGGAGCTCAATATATATTTAGAATAAATGAATATGTTCTCCTGTTAGAATATTTAAAGAAATCTCAACCACAGAATTTAGAATCCTATACGTTTTGTATTAATGGACAATATTTACACTGTAATAAATTACTCACGTATATGCCCATCTTGGTTTCATAAATAAAAGGATTTTTTCTGCTTGTGTAAAGTCATAGGTTACATAATAAGAAACATAAAGTTGTCATAGGTCAGCTCTGACTTATGGAGATTTCATGTATGTCAGAGTAGAGCTGTGCTCCATAAGGCTTTTTTTTATTTTAAGTTTTTATTGTAAATTGAGTGATAGTTTACAGGGGAGAGCATCAGCTTTACATTAATACTATCGTATTTCATTTCATTGCAATGATTACAATCCTCTTTATACATCATCATTCAACAGCATTTGCTTCCATTCCCTCTGGTTGTTTTTGTTTGTTTTGGTGGGGTGTTTTTTGGTGTATACTAAAGCACAACATGGAATACTGGGCCAACAGGGCTCATGAGATGGTGTTGGAACTCTGAAACAAACATAAAGGTATGTTTGGAGAATTGGAAGGTTTACAGCTGGGAATTTGCAG